TGGCAGCTGCCATTGCCGTGCCGCTCCACTCCGCTCACTGACGGTGCTTCTGACACGGCCTTCATGTCTTGCCGCAGTTTTCGTCCGCATAGCCTCTGCAGCGGCGAATGACACTCATCTCTCACAGCGGCTCCCAGGGGAGAGCGGATGGCAGCTGCCATTGCCGTGCCGCTTCACTCCGCTCACTGACGGTGCTTCTGACACGGCCTTCATGTCTTGCCGCAGTCTCCCCGTGCCGACACCTTATCCACGGCCCCAAACAACTCTGAGTTCGTTCGGGATTTCCTCTCTCATGCGGAGCGGCGTGTCAAATACCGCGCCTGCACTTCAGTCCGTGCGCAACGGAAACTCTCACGAGCGGGTCTCGAGCGTTGCGCTTGTATTGTCGACGTCTGGGGCGCCGGGGATGCGATCCTTTTCTCGCATGGAAAGCGGCAACTCGGCGAGTGCCATGTTTCAGTCTTGCCTTTCTATGCCGGGCGCCCTCGTCGGCGAGGATGGGAGCGGCGCACGCGATGCCACGCCTCCCTTGCCGCCGTCCCCGGGCGAAGTCGCCGTCCAGGAGCCGTCGGACGCCCTGCCTCCGTCGTCCTCGTCGGATCCGGCAACGGTGCCCGCCGTGGTGCACTCGCCGCAGGCGCAAAAGCTGCTGCGAAGCCCCCCGCGGGTGGAGGTGGCATCCGCTGCGCCAACCTCCCTATTTTCTGTGCCGCGTAAGCCTTGGCGAGACACCGCACACACCACCTCCTACGCCTCTTTCCGTTGGAGGAAGAATCCCGTCACCCAGCAAAGTCCGGGCTCACTCGCAGCCGCGCGAAGCTGCGGTTGCGGGGGGCGTGCGTCATTTTCCGGGATTGCTGCGCTACCAACGCGGCAGCGGAGGGAGCGTTTGTATGCGAGGCATGTGTCGGAGCCGCCGAGGCGTGCGAGAGGCGTCGCAACGATCCCCTTTGGCCAACAGTCGTCCTGGCCCAAGATGAGCGACTTGCACAGCACGTCGCTGACGTTGCAGTTGTCGCCCAAGGCACCGGAGCGAAGCTCCGCCAGCCTGCACCTCGACGGGCCGCAGGGGGGCAGTGTGCAGGGCCAGGAAGGCGAGGGGAATGAGACGAGGGAGGCGGCGCCGCAAGATGAGCAAGGGGAACCGCGCAACTTCCCGACGCAGCAGCATCCGGAGGAGCAGCTCGGTGAAGACGTTGATCAGGCAACGCGCGGGCGCCGTGAGACGGACGCAGCGTCCTCCCCATTGAAGGAGGGAACGATAGAGACTGCAGTGCCGAAGGCGGCGGGGGAGAGCGACGGGGCGTCGCAGACGACGGAGGTGTACGAGGTGCTTCACGCGGAAGAGTTTGCCGCCTCCTCCGTTGCACGCGTGACGGACGGCCCTTCCTCCGTGGGGACGCCTCTGCTGGGGGCCCTGTGAAGCCTGCGCCCCGACTGACTAGAGAGCTCCGATGGAGCAGCTGGGCGGAGGAGCAGCTGCCGCCCGCAGAACGCGGCGGGACGGCGCCAGCGGCCCCGCCAGGCCGTGTGACGAATGGGCAAAACGCCCGCCGGCGAGGTCCCCGTTGCGTCGCTTCCCCTCCGCCGTCGCCGTCGCCGTGGCCGGCTCCAGATGCGGCGGCGAGGCGGCGGACGGAGGGCAAATGACCGCCGGCTGAGTGAAGGGCGGTGGGTGCGACTCGCCGCCCCCCCGGAGGGGAGTCGCGGGGAGAGACGGAGAAGCAACAGCGCCAGACGTCTTCTCACGGCCCAACAGCTTTCGTCTGCGGAGGTGCGAAGGCAACAACGTGAAACGAAAAACAATCATCGATGAAAACAAAAGCAAAAACAAAAGCAACAAAAAAAGCAACGAAGAGAAGAAGCGAAAAACAAAAACAAAAACGAAAGAAATACATAAACAAATAACACGAAAAAAGGAAAGGAAAAAAGGTACGACATCATCTAGCGGAGCCCCCTCCTCCTCACCCCCCACTTTTTCAAACATGTTTGCTTGCAATGGTGTTTCAAATCTGCGTGCAGAAATACATGGCTTACGCGACAAGGCAACCCCCCTACAAGAAAGACAACATAATAATATGTTGGCGGACTCAAGAGCACCAGCAGGTGTTGCGTATGTCTCTTGCATTGCATGCCGCTTGCTGCGCGACTGCCACAGGAGGGGAATCCAAGTTTTGATTATTTTTGGGGTTTGCCGTTCTTGTCGGGTCTCCTGTTTCCTTTATTTTTGTTACTGCCTGAATGTTTCCCATAGCTTCTCCCGCTGTTTCAAAGTTCTGCTTTCCGCATTTCCCCAAGAAACCGCTGACGCCCCTACTTCCCTCGTTGCTTCTAGAAACAAATACACACACGCGCATACATGCATGCGTCTTCACGCCTAAATTTTGTAAGAGAAACTCACTCAATGAGGATTAGATAAGTAATCGTCCCATACTAAAACTATTACTCACAGTAATCATGATTGTAACGTTGATGGTCACAGCAGCCACAGGTGTGCCCGGGTGGTGTGGGCTTGTGTGCATTGTATTGAGTGTGAACAATGTATGCATTTATATAGACAAATACTGTAATGCATGTATGGCTATGAGGGGTTGAGGTGCGGTGTCTTTGACGTTTCCTTGTTTCTTTTTCCCTGTTTTGCGGCGAGCAGATGAGCTCGTTGAGTTGGCAGTTTTTTTTTACTGCTTATTGGGGTCCAATGTGTGGCCGTATTGGAAGTCTTTCCATGCTTATTATTTTCGCTCCGCTCTTTGCATTGCGGTCCACACCATCTCACTCCTCTACGCGCCAGAGCTGGTCCAGGGAGAGTGTAGGCAAACTGCTGCTTCCCCGCCTTCAGGCGACTGAAAGGCGCGGTGAAGAGTAACACGTAGCAGCACCCTACTTTTTTTATTTGGATGGGAATGTCGTGAAGGAGCTTGTTTGTCACTTTCTCTCTCTCTCTCCTTGTGTCTGCGGGGGAGGGGGGGGGGGAGAGAGAGAGAAAAAAAGGGGCGCCGACGTTTAGTGGAGTTGGACAGGCTCGCACTCTTTATCTGAGGGAGGGTTTTTCTTCCAATGCTGACAGCGGCAGCGGCAGGAAGCCCGACGGACCCCCCTCTTGCAAACGAGGAAAACAAACGCACATGCCCGCAGGGAAACGGTGAGGGTGGCGGCACCGTTGGTGCGGATGAGCACATCCCTGCGCAAGTATGTATGCATGCACGTACTTGTGGCTGTTTTTTTTGTTTTAGTTGGTTAAGTTGCATTGCTTCTTTGCTTGAGCTAAAAATTTCCCCCTCCTCCTTTTGTCGTAAAGCATTTTTTATTTATTTATTTGTTTTGTTTTATTTTTTGTTTTTTGTTTTGTTTTTTTTTCTTCTGTTTGCATCCGGCTCTGCCTCGCGGTTTCTTCCTTTTCTCGTGGCTTCTCGTGGAGTAGTGGGGAGGGGGTTGGCCTTTGCGTCGCGAGCAGATGGGAGCCCGTGCCAGCAGCGAGGCGGCCGCCGTGGCGCACGTCCCCGAGGCCGACGCCGCCGGCGAGCGGCTGCGCGAGCAAAAGCGATTGCTGGAGGAGAAGCGGCGACGCTACGCCCGCCTGTCCTCCGAGGCGGTGCGGCGAAAGCGGGAGGGGGGGAAGAACGTGATTGAGGAGGTGTACGAGGAGGACTTTCACACCATCGACCGTGTGCAGGCGATGCGGTTTCCGCCCATGGTGATGAAGGAGCTGCAGGACGCTGTCGACGTTGAGGCGGAGCGACGGTGTGCCGAGGTGGAAAAGACGATGGCGCGCTGCCTGCAGGACAAGATGTGGACGACTTGGAAGTGCCAGAAGGAGCGGGACAGGTACATCCAGTGCACTGCGGAGAAGAGGAAGGACAACGACCTTCTCATGGCCTACCGCTGGAAGTACAACCTAGGGACGCTGCATGGGGAGATTATCGGCCGCAACAACATGATGCGGCGCATCTGGAGCGAACACTTTCCAGACCGCGAGCTGCCGCATCCCTGGGTGAGGGGCCAGTGAGGAGGGAGGCAGGATAGTAACGGGGCGAGGGAGACGACGGGGGTGGCAGCAGCAACAGCAAGACGAGGAGGAAGGAAGAGCCGAAGGGAATGTAGCTGTGTGGTGGCGGGGGGAGAGCAGGCTCCCCTGCACTGGGGGGGGGGGGATGAACGGCGGTGGAAAGGAGGGAAACTGCGAAGAGACATCTAGCGACATTTTCGCGCCTTCTTTTTTAGCTTTCTCTGCTTCTTGCTTTCTACCTTCTCCATTTTCATTTCCCATTTTCTGTTAGTGGGCTGTTCCTTTTTTCCTTCCCTCTCCCACCGTCCTTTGCTTTAGGGGCGTGTGCCTCCTTTCATTTTCATTTTCATTTTCATTTTTTTATTATTTTATTCTTTCGATTATTGTCGATGTGAAACTTCGCTCATTGACAGCTGCACGCACAGTGCGAAGGGTGCGGCGGGCCATGATTCGGGTGGTGGCGCCGAATGAGGGCGTACTGCAGGAGATGCTGCTACTGGAGCTGCAGGGGAAAGTCCTCATTCCACCCAAAATGTTCAAGGAGGCTCGTGAGCAGCAGCGGCAGCGGGAAGATGTCCTGGGCGTAAAGCATCCACGCGATGCGGACGAGGCTTTGACGCAGGCAGGTGCGTTGGGCGAAGAGGCGGTGGTGGAGGTGCCACTTGGCCGCATTGTTAATGACCCACGCAACGAGAAGCGCTGTTCATTGCGCATTGGAAACTTGCTGGTGGAGGGGAGCCGCGGCCAGTACAACGCACCCCTGCTTGTGCTGAGGCAGCGGAGGCCGCCTCCGGACCACGGCTCGAGGCCCGGCGCAAGGGAGAGTCCGCTCGCTGCGTCTCTTTCAGAACCGGAGCCGCGGTGCTGTTTGCTGCAGGAGTGGCTGGCGGAGCATCCGGAGGAGCTGACGTTGGATGCTGCGGCCGCCGCCGTCGACGCCAACGCGACGCCAACAAAGACGTACGAGCTGGTGGGCGTTGTGGGGCGCTACGTGCATTTGAACTCCAAACCCCTGCGGACGTCGCTTTGACGCCACTGCCCCTTCTTTCTCCCTTTCTGGCGGGTTGCCGCTGGTGTGCGTGTGTGTGGGTGGGGGGGGGGCGGTGGCCTCCGTCTGTGTGCATCACGGCTGCCGCGCCGCTTCAAGCGAGCAGCTTGTGGGGGGCAGCCAGAAGCCGCTTCCCTTTTGCAGAAACAGAAACAAAAAAAATGTGTCAGGACGAGGAAAACAGTTGGGATTATTGTTGTTGCTTTTTTTTTTGCTCTCTCTCTGGATGACGTGCGTCATCGAGTTCTCTTTTCTTCTTTGCCGTCAGGGCCGCGGCAACCGCGCGGAGGGCACACGCATTCACACAGAAGGGCGTAGAGGGAGTGGAGGGCTTCCCCAGCGGTTTATTTTTGAGGGAAAAGATAGAGAAAAAGAGAAAAGTAATAAAAGAAAACATAAATCACTTCTGGGGCAATCGCACTGCCTCTACACTTCTTTGGAGGGAAAGGGGCAGACGGGTCCTTGCGTCCAGGGGACAGGGGCGGCGGGGAGGAGGTCAGGCGTGCAGGGAGCTCGTGCCGTCACACGCCCTGCTTGTAGTTTATTGGCATTTATTTAACGCACTCAACCTCCGTGTCGGCGGGACAGTCAAAAGAGGACGGGGGGGGGGAGAAGCAGCAGCGGCAGACGCACACACAAATCAAAAACAACAACAAAACAAATAAAAATAGCAACACTGGTTGGCGGAAGTGAGGAGGGGGCGTGTAAGACTAGTCACGGCATTGGGACAAGGCGAGGAAGGAATAGAGGAAGGAAGGGATTTTGGGGGGCGGGTGGGTAGTGGAAGGGGGAGACATTGCGTTATACACATCCATCTCTCCACTACTGAACAAGCGTACATACATAGAGTCAGTCTGTCTCTCTCTGTGCGCGCGTGTGTGTGTGTGTGTGGAGGAGGGGATTAGGGAGGGCCGTTAGTCGCAGGAGTAGGCGGGGGTAACAAATAGCGAGTAGCAGTGTAGAGGAGTCACGACTTAAGCGGAAGGATTGTTTCTGTTGGGTTGTGACAGCTGAATACGTTTGTCGTTCGCGCATGCGGCCCTCTTCACGCCTTGCACAGGCGGTGACAACCGCCTCCTCCTCCGCTGCTGCTGCTACTGCTACTGCTGCGCTGGGCAAAGGGAGGCCCAAGACCCCTCCGTCACCCCCGCGGCAAGAGAATGGGTACCATGCGGCCATGTTGTTTATGCAACGCCATCGTTCCTTTGCGCCAGGGGCATATTTAGCAGATGCCACGGCGCATCGCATTGTAGCATCACCTGCTGTTCGTCGTCGTCGTCGGTATGAGCCATACTCGTGGGTATTGAGGCGGTACCTTGAGCGTGGGTCTGTCGACCTTGACGCGTTGCTTTTTCACCCTGACGCCCCGTCACCTGTTGAGACGTTGCTCGAAGTTATGCGGCACCGTACGCCGTGTCAGCGCCTCACCGTGCATGCACTGGAGGCAATGTTTAATCAAGTGCGTCTGACTACTTCAGCGGGCAACGCGTCCTTTGCGTTGCAGACGGTTAGTTATTTGCTGCGGTGGCGATGCCCACAGTTGTATGACACGCCTGCTGTGCGGGTGCTGCTGTGTCAGGCGCTGCTCGCGGAGCGACTGTTTAGTGACGCCATTGAGGTACTGGAGGGCATGCCGGATGCCTGGATCACCCCCGGACTTTGGGCGGCCGTGATGGAGGCGGCAGCAGAGGGAAAAATACCGCACTCGCCGATCCTTTGGCGCCTGCTGACGCTGTCGCCAAGGCGGACTCCCCGCGCGGGCAGCGTCGTCCGCACGGGGCAGCGCATCCTCGCGGAAATGCAGGGTAATACGGCGGCCGCGGAATCGGCGGTGCCAGTGCAGCACGCCGGCGAGCCAGTCGAGGGGGACTACGATGGTGGCCACAGGAATCGCAGACACACCCTGAAGGCCGAGGCGATGGTGACAATGTCGACTTTTGAGGTTCGCCCAACTTCGGTGAGGCGTCTCGCACAGGACGCCGAGCGGCCTGTGTGGTGTCACTTGAGCATGGCGGAGGTGGGCTACGCGGAGCGGCACTACGGGACCCTGCGTGATGAGCGGGCGTGGGGGCTGGGCACGCTGTACCCCGGCGGTGGGGATACTGCCTCCGAGGGCATTGTTTACGGCCTTGATGCACGCCTCGCCTCGCGACTGATGCTGCGTGCGAATGTCTCTTTTTCTGGGCAGGCGTCGCCGCTGATTGCCCTGCATATCCTTCGTCGCTACCTGCGCACGTGCCACGTGCTGCAGAAGCAGGCGGGTTTGGGGGGCACCGCCGGCCCCGCTGCTGCCGGGACGCCGGCGTTGGCAACGGCGCACGCAAACGCGGTCGTCGCTGCCGGCGGTGCGGCGGGGACGGCGGAGCTGGAAGGTCAAGTGCACCCCTCGCCTTTCCTGCTATTTTTCAAGATTGTTCGTGAGACGCGAGACGTGGTGGCTGGCGGCGGCGGCGGCGGCGAGCTCGCGGTGGTGCCGGGGGCGGCGCCCGGCCCGGCCCCGGGCGGGCTGCCGATGATCCACTGGGGCGTCGTCTGGCGGTTCTTTCAAACCCTCAACCGCGAGTCCCCGGCGTGGTTTACCGTCACCCCCGAGGAGGCGGGGGACCTCGCAAGGTACGTCATTGACGCCCTCTGCCGCGGGGCCGACCCGTGGATGTCGCTCAACGTCGCCCGCGCCGTGTCCGCGCGCCACATCGTGGACGGCCTGGAAATGTCGCTATGGCTGCTGCACCGCCTCGACGCCGCCCACCACACGGAGGAGGCCCGCGAGGTGACGCGGAAGATTTTCCGCTGGTTGCTGGTGGACGTGGGGGTCCATCTGCTCCCGCAGCTGCACCACCACCTGCTCCCCGCCTCGCGGGTGCTGATTCGGCTGGGGCTGCACGAGGAGCTGAGGCAGTTCTACAACGCCGTGCTGGACAACGCGTACACCTTCTCGGAGGGCTTCCGCGGCGATTTTATGCGCGTGATGGAGGACCTGGTGTGCCCCACGTGCAGCTCCATTCTGCCGGAGCGGGACGTCTACGTCGAGCGCGCCTGCCCGCTGTGTCTGACGGTGGTGCCGGCGAAGGACCCGAGTGCAGTTCCAAGTTTTCAGCTCTCAAACGAGCACGTCGCTCGCCTACGTGAGAAGCGGAAGGCCCTCCGCGAACGAGGCAGGCGACGACTGCATGAGCGCATTAATCGCTGGTCAAAGGGCGGCGGCGGCGGCGGCGATGGGGCGGAGGGCTCCGCGCGACCACCACTAGACGCCAGCAGTGTCTTCAAGCGCGAGCTTCTCGGCGAGAGCGTGCCGCTGATACCCGGCGTGTCCGTGAGCGAAAGCATGCCGCTCTTCCCATTTGAGGGGGGAAGCCGTGGCGCGAGTCATAGTGGGGGCGCGGAGGGCTCCGAGGCTCCCTTTGACGTTCATGCGGCCATGGAGGAATCGTCGCGGCGCTTGCAGTTGCAGGAGGCGGCCAGGCTCTACGCCTTGGCCCAGCGTGGGGTGGCGGCCGCGGCTCGACCCTTGGCGGCGCCGCCGTCGCTGCTCGTCTCGGACGCGTCCCACGCCTCGCTGCTGCAGCAATCGGAGTGGCAGCGTGGGCAGCCGTCGAGGTTGTTCGTGCACATGCGCGTGGATGGGCCATGGACGTGTGTGTGGTGCCAGGAGCACAACTCGGAGTGGAGTTCGCGGGTGGAGTGCGCAGCCTGCGGGGCAGAGACAGGCCCATCCGCGCCGTGGCGTCACTTTGCCTACGCCGAGGCGGGGGATGTTATGGCGGAGATTAGGGCCCGCGTGGCGAATGCCGGGGAGCGGCCTGTGGATGCCGTGGTTGCCGCATACATGCTTATGGTCTATCGCCGTGCCTTCATGCTAAGGGCCACTCCGCACGATCATGAGCGCATTGATCAGTTGATACGGCGGCTCTGTTGGCTGCACGAGCGGGTGCTGGCAGGGTACTTGTATGTGCGATTTGTCCCGCCTCGTTCTCGGTGCAAGAACGACACGTTGTGGGCGGTGGCGAGCCTCTTCGGCTGCAGTGAAGCGGAGTACGCGGCGATATCCCCGCAGGAGTTGGGCCACAACGAGGAGAAGTTTTTCCAGACCATCTTCACCCCCGCCACGTGCAAGGTGTGCTTTGGCGCACACGCCTGGAAGACGTGTCCCATCATCACCCGCGACTTTTCCTCTACCGCGCGCGCGTCCATTAACATGACCCCAGAGGAGAAGCAGCGTGCGATGCTGCAGCACCTGCGACGTGTTGTGGCGGCGGCTCTGCGGGGGGGCACAGACAACAGTCGCCTTGTAGTGGATGCCTACACCACCTTCGTGAAGTCCCCTTACCGGGAGCTCTTCGCGGAGGTCCACAGCGAGGAGGTGAACCGCCTATCAATTCTGCTCAGTCACTATCACCAATACCGACGCGCCGCGTTTGTCCTCTGCCACGTCCCCCGGCATCTCCGCGAGGACCGCGCCTACCTTGTCATGACGCACTACTTCAACGTCCCCGCGGAGGAGGCGCGGGAGCTGCTGCGGAAGAGAAGCGCAGTTGGGGTAGAGGACGAGAGTCACCCAAACTTTGTGCAGGTGGCCCTCACCTGCTGCATGTGCCTTGACGGGCGACACGCCTCCTTTGACTGCCCGCGGCTTGTGCAGTGGATGGGCGACGTGGACGCGCATTCCGCCGCGCCCGCCGCCACGGCGGCTGAGGCGGCCCTGTACAATCCCCTCCTCGAGGAGCAGCGGGCGCGGCGATTGCGGGCGCAGGTGGACGGATGGACCTCCGCTGGCCCTGAGCGACTGCACGCGTTCTATCGATTCCTGCTGCAGCGCGTGGACGCCTTTCAGGAGGAAGTCCCGGTGGACGGGGATGACGAGCAGGACGCCGCCGTCGCCGCAGCCAAACCGCGGCGACGGATTGACGCGGCCGACCTCATTGTTTACGCCGTCAACAAAACCATCGCGAAGCTGGCGACGGTCGGACACGAGAATGGGGCCTGCCGACTGTATGCGAGGACCCCTGTGGCTTTCGTCTCGCGCTACACCACATGTGCGATGCTGCGTTTGCAGCGCTTCTCCGAGGAGGGCATCCGCACACTGCTGAACAGCGGCACTGCGGCTTCGTCGTCGTCGCCGTCGTCTGCGTCGGCGATGGAGGATGAGACAGCGCTGGGTCTGTCTAGTGAGGCTGCTGCAGCGGCGGCAGTGCCCTTGCAGCGCCGCTGCCTGTTGTGCTTTGACGCCGGTCATGCGTACTTGGAGTGCCCTGAGTTGGCGGCGCAGCCGACAAACGCGGCGAAGCTCGAATATGTGGCCACGCAAGTGGGCGGGATTCGCTGCTCCATCGACGGCGTCCGCGGCGCCGCGGCCTACGTGTACCACATGTACAACCTTGGCAACCTCACTGGCGAGATGCTGCGGGCGCACCCCTCCCTAGTGCGGGCGTTGCTCCGCCTCATACGGCGGTCGTTTGCGACGGGGCAGGTGGCCGCGGGCGCCCGTGTGCTGCGGCGGATTCCCACGGAGCTTGTGCCGCCCGCGCGTGTGTACACCGATCTGTGGCGCGCGGCAGGGTTACCGGAGCAGGCGGTGGAGGATCGACGGGCGCAGTTGCTGGCGATGTACGAGGCGGAGGGGCTGGTGCCGGACATTGACAACCCGCCCGCGCGCCAGACGTACACCAACCAGTTGGTCACAAATTTGAGCCGCACCCTGCACGACGATCTCTGCAGGCACTGCTACCAGCACGGCCACACCCTGGCAACCTGCAGCGTGTTCCACGCCGAGGTAAGCTTTGGCCGGGACTACGTCGCCGCCTACCGCATGAGCATGATGTCAGAGCAGCTGGATCGGGATTGGCAGGACGCCTACCTTTTAAAGCTGGCCGACTTCTTTCTGGCGCACCGGCTCTTCATGCCGTACCACATCGTTGGCGTCACGAACGCGTTGAACGCCATCGCGGCCATGTGGAGCTTCCGCGGAGAACCCGGCATCGCGATGCGGCACCTGCTTGCCATCCCACCCGCCTACCGTCGTCGACAGGCCTTTAAGCACATCCTGCACGCACTGCATATCCCCATGGCGGACATAAATCGCGTGCTCGCCAATGTTTACTTCGCCCCAGACGAGGTGTCATCTTCCCTCGCGGCGGGCAAACGGCGCGATGACTCCCCAGCACTGGGCAGCGGCGGCGCGGTGGCACAGCACTTACTGATGCCAAAGCCCGCAATACGTGATGTGGCCATGTCAGCTGTCTTTAACCACTTCCCTGAGGCGCTGGCGGCGCTTGAGAAGAGCGAGGAGCGCATGGCGTTGATCCGCCGCCGCAACGCGACACAGCGGGCGATGACGGCCCCGCACAGCATCGCCGCCACCGTGGCGAAGGCCGAGACAGTGAAGCCGCCCCCGGGTACGGCCGTCCCCACAAACTCGGCCGTGGGGGCGCCTCCCTCTTCCTCCACCGCCACCACGCTATCCCCCACGCTGCGTGTGATGCAGAGCGGTGACATTTTGACCCTTCGAGAGGACTTTGATCCCGTGCTGACAGAGTTGGAGGTCGCGGTGGGGATGAAGCTGGGCAGCCGACACGTGCTCTTTACGAGCGCCGTGGACATTCTCGCCGCGGCGGCGAGCAAATCGGAGGATGCCGAACGGGACACGCCCGCGCCCTCGCCGCCGTCGAGGGCGAACGCATCCACCGCCACTGAAAGACGGAGGGGCGCGGAGGCACGCGACGCCGCACCGGCGCAGCAGAAATCGGACGAGGCCGCAGTCGTGACGGTCTTCACGAAGGAGGTGCGACAGGGGCGTGCGGAGGGCAAAAAGGACGAGCCCCGCGGGCGGGAGGAGGAGCGTGGCGGCAGGCGGCCCTTTGCCCCGCCGCGCGGACAAGGGAAGGATACCTTTGTCCACCCGCCACCGCGCCAGCAGCAGGGGAAGCAGCCGCAGCAGCAGCAGCACTACTCGCGGCGGCCCCGGTACCACGAGAGGCAGCAGCAGCAGCAAGCAGCAGCCACCACCCAAGAAGCGAAATGAAACGAAGCGACGAAAAAACGCAAATGAAACGGGAATAAAAGCATGATAGGACCAAAAAAAAAGAAAGGCTGTAAAGGGGGAGGTGCTACATGCGTGAGGGCGGGGGTGGAGGTGTGGTTTCGCTGCGCCGCGGCGGGAGATGCGCACATGTGCATCGCGACCCAATCAAAACGAAAGAAAAAGGGAAAAATGAGACTGTCCTTCTGCGTGCTTATTTTTTTTCTTCTCTCGTAATAACTCCGCCTGTTTTTGACGCTGTTGACTGCCCTCGTTGTTGTTGTTGTTGTTGTTGTCCACTTGACGCATGGCCGCCGCTTTCTGCGGCTTCGCAAGTAACCACCACTTCCCACCCTCCCCTTCTGCGCGTGCGTGTTTTTTTTGTTTGGATGCTGGGGCCTTCTTGGCCTACTGTGGTCAGCTGCTGTAAATTAATTTTTTTTGTTTTTGTTTCTTCCTCTTCTCCTTCTGTGTCTGTGATGCAAAGTCTACCTGCTGCC